TAAAGTCCGCTCTTTTATTTTTTCATTTGAAGATCTTGAACCGAGTCGAACTATCTTGGGTTCAAATTTTTGAATACCTTTAAAAAAAAAATAACGAATAAAATTAATTAATAATGATTTTAATAATTTTAATAACACTAATGCCACTAATAATAATCTACCTTCAAGAAACTGATCAAGAGCATGGTTTGTCTGACATGCAATCATAATTGTTCCAGAACTGTTTTCAACTAATATTTGAACAGCAGCTAGACCAACATAGGTTTTTCCAGTACCTGGTGGGCCTTGAATCAAGGCAAAACGTTTAGTCAACATTTGTTTCATAGCTTCATATTGAGAAGCATGAAGAGTTGAATTCAATTGCTCTAATGGAGGCCAATCCTTTCTAATATCAATCTAAATAACAAAGAGTTCGTTCTTTTTAGAAAACATTAAACAGGAATAAATCTGAATTAATTAACTATCAATATATATAAATATATATGTAGATAGATATATGTAAATATCAGAAATTATTTTATTTATTTATAGAAAATAAAAAAAAAATCAAGAAAATACCTTTGATGTCCCAAAAGATTCTTCAATATTTTCAAAAGGAATTGCCTTACCAAAATCATATACAGAATGACGGCGTTTTAAATATTCAGGTTCATCAATATCTGTAACAAGATCTACAATATGTGTTTTGAAAGGTAATGAATCAGGATCTAATTCTTGGAGGACTTTCAGGACATGACGATAGGCTAAAATACAAACATAGAAAAAATTTAATATTTTGATAAAAAAAACATATAGTTTATTGCATGACGATATTACCTTCAAAATATGATGTTGACTCAACCTTTTTTTTTAATAAATAAATAAATAAAAAAATAATAAATGAATTAAAAAAAATGTATAAAATATCTATCAAATAGATTTTAAATAAGTAACTCAAAAGTAATTAATAATAAATACCATAGTATAACCCTTTTCAGGCCATACGAATTCAGCATCATCTGGCCCGAAAAACACTTCAATTTGCAAGTCATGAGTTTTTCCAAGTAATTCTAACGGTCTACTGATAACAGTGGCAAATTTCATCGTTTCAAAATTGTCATCCGATAAAACAACCAAAGTTCCCGGAATCAAACGTTTGCTTATGTGCCTATAGTATAATACGGTATATTAAATTAAGGGAGTAAAAATAATATAGATAATAATAATAAAATTTCAAACTATAAGAAAGTACATACCATTTGACACGTTCCAAATGTTGCGTCCTAAAAGATATACGATGAACCATACCCATGCTAGCGAATGTAACACCGACTAACTTAACCTGAAAAAAATTGAAAAAATTGAATCGATTTGTAAAATCAAACATCATTGCCATAATGAAAATATATATATGTAAAATAAGTCAAAAAATAATAGTAAATAAAAATCATACATGTTCATAGATCCGTATATCAGTGTTTCTTTTGTTTTTTTCCTTATCTGTGTTTTTTTCCCTATCTGCGTTTTTTTCCCTAT